CACTGCATCTTCATCAACATCATTATACAATGGAATCTGTCCAATTCCGACTCGGTTGGGACCGGTAAAAAAGTCCGGTTTACTGTGAGGTCCAGGTTCCACAAGTACAAAATGTTGGACTGAAGACACAATGAACGATCATTCATCATTCGCATACACATACATTGAAATATTGACATGATCTGCCATTAAATACACATTAAAACATTCTTTACTAGCAAAAGTCATTGAGAACGGACTGCTTATGTTTCTGAAGATTATTGTGGCCTCGGAGTTTCAAGGTGAAGAACTGGAAGTGGTTCGATAATGACAGACTGTGTTTACCGTTATTTATTGACATACTCATGACACACAGTTGGTCTTATTTAGCTGAGTTTCTCATTAACAGGTTAGTAAATTCATATTAGCTAAGATGACAACAAAGTGTTCAGATCAGTAGGACTACATTACAGGAAAAGTGTTCTTCTTTTGAGTATGAATGAGAGATAAACTACAATAATGAAAGAAAATGGTTTTCGTTCACTTCTTTTGAGTTACCAGTATATTTTTGCAGAACACAGAATTCTGCATTTCATACTTACTGAAATCTACATATGATTAATCTCATTTATATAGACATCTTCGTCAACATCAATATATATACAAGGCTTTTGCAGAACACAGAATTCTGCATTTCATACTTACTGAAATCTACATTTGATTAATCTCGTTTATATAGACATCTTCGTCAACATCAATATATATACCAGGCTTTTGCAGAACACAGAATTCTGCATTTCATACTTACTGAAATCTACATTTGATTAATCTACTTTATATAGACATCTTCATCAACATCAATATATGTACCAGGCTTTTGCAGAACACAGAATTCTGCATTTCAAACTTACTGAAATCTACATTTGATTAATCTACTTTATATAGACATCTTCATCAACATCAATATATGTACCAGGCTTTTGCAGAACACAGAATTCTGCATTTCATACTTACTGAAATCTACATTTGATTAATCTACTTTATATAGACATCTTCATCAACACAGAATTCTGCATGTCATAAAAAACTGAAACCTGCATAAGAAAACACACTGCATGCATCACAGAATTTGTTCAGTTTTGCAATAAAAACTTATTAGATTTTCATCCAAATATGTCAAAAAGGTGAGGAGGGTATTTATGTTTTAAATATTTTTTTATATCAAAGCATCTGTGTAAGTTACTCATTTGATGGATGATTCACTTGAAGCATGAATGTTGTGGAGGGCTATGTCTGTAAATGTGTAGGACTATGTCTATATAATGTATATCATGACGTAAAGAAAGAGAACACCCCGCCTGATATTCTTTGTAGGCATTGTATTGTGGGACAGCAGCATGGTATCAGATGGCGTGTTTGGGTGCGAGGCAAGGGGTGAAACTGGCATCATCTTTCATGGCCTTGACTGAAATTGATGAGAGTGTATGTGTACATGCTGACAACATCCGGTTGTATCATGTGACTCCTTGTCAGGATATGGAAATGAGGACTACAAGGTTAGATGCCCTGTTTTCTTGGCCTACAGTTGACCTCCCTAAATTTGCAAAAAATACATATACCAAAATATGTTTGATTTTATCCTCTTTTAAAACTGTTGGATTGGCATTCTAGAAGTGAGTGAGTAAATAAGAAACTTGAGAACGGTGTAAGAATCTACATCGAAACACCGCTAATACGATAAACCAGAATTTGTTATCCATAAAGTTGTATGTTTTCAGGAAGATCTGGGAAAGAGGCGACTAATGGCATCCGGTGGTCAGACTCACTAATTTTGTTGATTCATGTCATCGTATCCCATGCCAAACAAGCCTAATTCAAGAAACATAAACACAGCCTGTTAATATACATTTATTTTTCAAACCCCCCACCCCCCAAAAAAGAAATCAATAAAAAATAAAATAATACTCCATGTATTACATTCCCAATCAGAGTAGATCCCTAGTTTCCCACACTTATTGTAAGAGTCGATCCAGATTGGCATTGGTTAGCCAGATTGTCAGAATAAGCGTGTTTGTTTACAAACAAGAGAGAAGTCTGATCACATGATATGCAAATTAGCCTGTGGCAGTGGTGTTAAGCTAAGTTAGCCTGTGGCAGTGGTGTTATGCTACGTCACCTCTGTGCCGGAGTGTGCTCATTTGTAGCACTGCAATATTCCCAGACTGGAAGTCTGTCTCATCTCCAATATAATGTCATGTGTATGTAGTTTTAATGTTTATATATTCTTAACGCTATTCAGTGACAGCATACACCGTATTCGACGTAATAAGCGCCCACAGCGATATTTGCTATTATATTGTCTAGTGAACAATCCCAACCAGCACCCCTTCCGATTGATAAATGTACACAAGACTTATTTATTCCTGCATAATATGTTTGTTATATGCACCCTTAATTATGGGCAATTATTTTCTGGAAAAATATATCTGTCGTATATAAACATTTCAGGCTGTCAGCACAACACCACAAAATTTACGATCTTTCAACTCTGTTGATTTTCACCAAAATAATATTCTAATAAAAGCCCCCTATTTCTAATTTTGAGAGTGCCCTTGGCGCTTATTATGTCGAATATGGTAATTAAACTACTAGTCAAACATCTGAACAGCAGACAACAGTTACAGCAAGTGAAGATTTCTCAGGTTGGTTTTGTATGAGAATTAGAGTTATCTGCCCTTGTATATATGAACATACACCGCTTCAACCATTGGGGATGGGACAGTATTTAGAAGACTGGCTGTACCTCTATAAGTTTGTTTGTTTGTTTGATGTTTAACGCCACACTCAGCAATATTCCAGCTATATGACGGCGGTCTGTAAATAATTGAGTCTGGACCAGACAATCCAGTGATTGACATCATGAGCATCGATTCACAAATCTAGGATACGAAGACATGCATCAACCAAGTCCGCGAGCCTGACAACCCGATCCCGTTAGTCGCCTCTTACGACAATCAAAGTTGCCTTTTACGGCAAGCATGGGTTGCTGAAGACCTATTCTAATCGGATCTTCACAGGTCTATAGTGACATGCGGGCAATTAAAGGCCTTTTCAATCCGTGTTTTCCACAAGTCTTATCTACTTGCCAAGTACAGTTTGGATACCTGTTTGTAAACACAAATTTCTATTCTTCAAACACTATTCAGGATTCAGGCATGGAAACAGGCCGCTTTCAAGAAAATCAACAGTAACAATTTAATGTTCTGTGCACTGACATTAATTTTAGGGCCTGTTACTTAATGCTGGTGCAACTCATTTGGCTATTGTCTTGCCTTTTTGATTGTAAACCTAACACTGAGAGTTTCAATATACAGTTACCGTATTTGACGTAATAAGCGCCCCGCTCTAATAAGCGCCCACGGCGACATTTGCTAATATATTGGCTAGTGAACAATCCCAATTAGCACCCCTTCCGATTGATCAATGTACACAAGACTTATTTATTCGCGTATAATACGCACTCAAGTGTTATATGCACCCTTAATTATGGGCAATTAAATTCTGGAAAAATATATCTGTCGTACATAAACACTTCAGGCTGTCAGCATAAACCACGAAATTTTTCTTTCAACTCTGGTTTTTTTCACCAAAATAATATTCTAATAAGAGCCCACATTTCCAATTCTGAGAGCGCCCTGGGCGCTTATTACGTCGAATACGGTAACTACGATTATAACAAACTCAAAGAGATCACTAATTTTAGCTTGTTATAACTGTAGGTCGCTATAGGCATTTTGACTGTCAGACATCTTGGATTAAGTCACATGACCACAGCATGTTACTCAATAAACAACCAAAGTTGGCACTGTACACGTACAATGTTTATTCATCTCATAAACGACAAACATTTTATAAATATATTATTTATACAGTTTCATTGACACACACACAATTATATCTTTATTGAATTACCTAAATCTAATCGTCGCATTATATAGAATATATCCACCTCAAAGGTAATAGCCTAATCACTGTTTTACTATTGTTAATTGAGGCTAAGACGTATATAGATATGACTTGATTGTGAGTTTAAGCTGAGGACAAGGTGTGATTACTTAATTCAGTAATCACTTGGCTTCAATTGTTTATTGATGCTTTCAACAGCCGTGTGGCCACGGATGTTTTGATGGGTTGATTGGTGACATATGAGCATCTCAGAGATCAACAGTTCATCATAAACATAAACTTTTTCTCTGACAGTACACACTGGACCATAATTTGAGTTCACTATACCCGTTTTTTCCCCGTTATAAGCATATTCGTTATATCCATCAATTCTATATGACATAATATACAGCAAATGTCAGAGACCAAAAAAAATTGTTATATCCGTCAGTTCATTATAAGCGTGTTCATTATAAATGTAGTTTCCTGTAAATTATTAAATTTTCATTGATCTTGTGTGGTGGTTATTTACCCATTTCAAAACTGAACCAAACACATAATCCTCATTTCAGTCAGTTCTAGTTTACTATGCACCAACAGCTCACTCAGTAGTATGATACGACAAATATACACCAGGCACTGCCACCTTGTATTCCATATCCTGACTGCTCAATCTGTTTGTTGGTTGTTTAACACCTCATTCAGCTATATTCAAACTATAAGGCAAAGGCTTGTAAATAATAGAGTCTGGACCAGACAGTCCAGTGATTGATATTGCGAGCAACTATTCATGCCAAGCCAAGCCTGACTACCCAATCGAATTTAAGTCACTTCTTACAACCAGTATAGGTTGCTGGGAACCAATTCTTACCAAGAATCAACACGGGGACATAGTATGTACAATCACAATTAGAGGTTTCAAGTTGTGTAGGGGGCATGGGTGGCCCCATCGTCTGAGGTGCCGTGATTTGCTGTGCAGAGTTGCGTCCCTTGGGCACGCCAGAAACCTATGATTGTTGGTTCGAATCCTGGTTCGCCCCGATTATGTTTCTAGGTTTGTCAGCACCATACCCGTGCTCGTGGGTTTCAACAAAGTGGTAAACGTCTTAGACCTGCATCACTTCAGGCTCTCCTTCCACATTAAGCTGACACGCACCGATATAACTGGAATAATGTTAAACGCGGCTTTAAACCCAATTCAATCACTCAGTCACTAGTTGTGTTAATGTTTTCTTCTCATGAAATGACACATGTTATCATAGCTTAGAAAGCTTTCACCTTAGCTTTTGATAACACATTCTTGTCACAAACAGCCCTGGATCTGTGATAACTCATTCTTGTCACATTAAAACACATTCTTGTCATGTGATAACTTATTCTTATCACATGATAACATTCTAGCCAAGTGATAACACATTCTTGTCACAGACAGCCCTGGATCTGTGATAACACATTCTTGTCACAGACAGCCCTGGATCTGTGATAACACATTCTTGTCACAGACAGCCCTGGATCTGTGATAACACATTCTTGTCACGTTATGACACATTCTTGTCATGTGATAACTTATTCTTATCACATGATAAACATTCCAGCCAAGTGATAACACATTCTTGTCACAGACAGCCCTGGATCTTGCCAGAGACACAGAAGTTTGTCCCACAAGTTGCAGCAGACGTCAAAATACCATGAGTTTCTTGCTGTCACTCCGTTTCTGCTTGTGTCTCTCCAGGGTGACCTCTGATGACCTCAGTTTTGCCAGGTAGGCTTCTGCGGAGGAAATCTTTTGCCGAACTTGTTCTGCAACCCTTCTGTCCCTGGGAAATGATGGAACAGAAGTTCTAAACAATGTGCTGACAACTGTACAATTTATTTTCTCGGACAAATTTATCAGGTTATGAATGTAAGCCTTTAAAGGAGGACTTGGCTTGGGCAAATTGGCCTTACAAGCATATGTGTTTGCCATGTCACATTTTATAAGCCTTTCTATCATTCTTTCATCTATCTTTCTACATCTCAATTTCACACCAGGCACAAAAGACAACTATAACATCCTGCTCTAACATCAACATGGGGAAAGCTTAGGATGCTGGGGACATATTCTGCCCTGGAATCCCCACAGGGAGACAAGCATAGGATACTGGGGGCCTATTCAGCCCTGGAATCCCCACAGGGAGACAAGCATTGGATACTGGGGACCTATTCTGCCCTGGAATCCCCACAGGGAGACAAGCATAGGATACTGGGGGCCTATTCAGCCCTGGAATCCCCACAGGGAGACAAGCATAGGATACTGGGGGCCTATTCAGCCCTGGAATCCCCACAGGGAGACAAACATTGGATACTGGGGACCTATTCTGCCCTGGAATCCCCACAGGGAGACAAGCATTGGACACTGGGGACCTATTCAGCCCTGGAATCCCCACAGGGAGACAAGCATTGGATACTGGGGACTTTTTCAGCCCTGGAATCCACACAGGGAGACAAGCATAGGATACTGGGGGCCTATTCAGCCCTGGAATCCCCACAGGGAGACAAGCATAGGACACTGGGGGCCTATTCAGCCCTGGAATCCCCACAGGGAGACAAGCATAGGATACTGGGGGCCTATTCAGCCCTGGAATCCCCACAGGGAGACAAGCATAGGATACTGGGGGCCTATTTTGCCCTGGAATCCCCACAGGGAGACAAGCATAGGATACTGGGGGCCTATTCAGCCCTGGAATCCCCACAGGGAGACAAGCATAGGATACTGGGGGCCTATTTTGCCCTGGAATCCCCACAGGGAGACAAGAATTGGGTAATAGCGGGAAGTCTACCCCAACATCCACAAGGGGAGACAACCATTGGAAACTGGGGACCTATTCAGCCCTGGAATCCACACAGGGAGAAAACATTTTGAATAAGGGCCCCAGATCACATCTAGCTGTAACCTGCTCAGTGTCAGAAACATGACCACAACAGCTGGTAGTACTTTACAGAATTTTCATATTTTAACATCTGACTTCATTGGAAATTAGTCAAGAAACTCCAGCAATTGTCAGTCAAAGAAACAACCCAAGTTGAAGTGTTTTCTTTCTTTTTTTTGTCTAAATCTACACTCATTGTTTTTGAGATCATCTTTGCAAGTTTGTCAAAAAAGTAGTTTTTCGAACACCCAAATTCTGTAAACCAAGAATTAAAAACAGTTGTCCTCTCACCTGTCTTTGTTGCGTGCGAGAGAGACACGGAGACGTTTCAATTCCTTTTCTACCTTACTAATCTCTTCGTATGTTTGGAAAGCCTGCAAAAAACAAAAACCATGAGTTACACTCACTCTTCTGTGAGGCACCTCAAGTTACTGAGTTGCATCCCTTAGTCATGCCAGGATCTGCTGCCTGTGGTTTCAAACCCCCGAGTTGTCCAGATAATGATCCTTCATATATCAGCAACTGTGTTCACGGCTTTCACCAAAGTTGTAAATGTCTCATTTGGGCTTTCTTATGAAAATAAAACCAAATAAAATCCCTTGCTCTCTAACTACAGGCAGATCAGAGAGGCTGCAGGGTGTTTTGTTTCTTTGTTTGCTTGTTTGTTTGTTTCTTTGTTGCTTAACATTGTACTCAGCAATATTCCAACCAAATTATGACGTGGGCTGCACATATTTGACTCTGGACCAGACAGTGATTGACATCATGAGCATTGACCTATGAATTGGGATACGATGACATGCATCAAGCAAATCAGGGAGCCTGACCACCCGATCCTGTTAGTTGCCTCTTACGACAAGCATAGGTTGCTAAAGACCAATTCCCCATGGGTTCTAAAAAGACCAATTCTATCAGGGATCGTCATGGGTCCCAGGTTATATGCCAGCCTATGTCTGATGTGTGTCTTTTCACTTGGTGACTTTTCGCCACCCCTTTGGCGATGTATGATACTGTACAGTACTGCTGTATCGGCCTGAGACATCAGGCTCCACACTCCCCACCTGTATGTTGAGGTGCTTGTCCGACTTCTGGCGAAGGTCCGACTCTGCGATGTGTTGACTTGTCCCTGACTTGCTGCCACTTGCATGATGGGATACCAGCTCACCCAAATTACCTGAAAATAGTTTTTGAAAGAATATCTTGTTCATACCCCTCGTCTTTGAACAGAATATAAACAACATCGCACAAGACAAGAAGGTATTCCACAGGGTTAGAGCTAAACTGAAAAGCTGTACTTGCCCGGGAAAAGATAAAATGCCCTTGTTATGTTGAACAATGGTGAAATTGGGAAGTCTGTACTAGTCCACAGGAATTTGTACTAGCCCCGGGCTAATTGGCTACTGTTAAATTTCTAACCCAGTGATTACATAAAACAGAAACAAGCTTTTCTTGGGGGAGACATTTAGCATATGGTACTCAAGTAGGCAAGTTTGCCCTAACATCCACATGGGGAGACAAGCATTGGATACTGGGGACCTATTCTGCCCTGGAATCCCCACAGGGAGACAAGCATTGGATACTGGGGACCTATTCTGCCCTGGAATCCCCACAGGGAGACAAGCATTGGATACTGGGGACCTATTCTGCCCTGGAATCCCCACAGGGAGACAAGCATTGGATACTGGGGACCTATTCTGCCCTGGAATCCCTACAGGGAGACAAGCATTGGATACTGGGAACCTATTCTGCCCTGAATCCCCACAGGGAGACAAGCATTGGATACTGGGGACCTATTCTGCCCTGGAATCCCCACAGGGAGACAAGCATTGGATACTGGGGACCTATATCGAATAGGGTACCCCCAGAGTAATGTCGATATCACACACAGAGTTATATTTTTGTGTGACACCTCATCTCAAACATAGTACCACATAGGATGACTTAATCAAATCTAAACATGCCAATTTCAACTTCTACAGGATAATTACAAACATATTCACAGATGCAAGATTTGAAATTATCAAACCCAATCCTTTCATAAACAAGAAAAATCTTAACTCAAGATTTACAAAGCTCTTTTGTCATTTCAATGGAGTAACCCATCTCTCTGAAAGCACCTAAATCTTGATGACAGGATATCCTATAAACCTTCAATTCATCTCGTCATGCGCCCAGCTTGGGCTGTGTGTCTGCCTGCTGAGCCATGGGTTCTATACAAGCAGGCAAAACATGCGAGTCAGCAGTTTCAGCCAGCATAGCAGGCACAGGGTCTGACAAGCACACACTACACAATGAACATGTACATGGCACACAGAGGCCGGGTGCAAGTAAATGTTCCCATTTTATTATGCAGGAAATTGCCATTAAATCCCACAAGTGGCTTGGTATTCAAGGTCTTATAAGCACAACAATGTCATGTTCTCAGATATGGCTGAAAGGTACATTTTGTGAAGATACATATCCGAGGGCACATGTTAAAGATACACTGAAATATCTCTGTACAGAAACTAATGTGTCATGGTATCTTTGGTTGGTTGGTTGGTTGGTTGGTTGGTTGGTTGGTTGGTTTGTTGTTTAACGCATCACTCAGCAATATTCCAGCTATATGACGGCGGTCTGTAAATAATAGAGTCTGGACCAGACAATCCAGTGATTGATATCATGAGCATCAATCCACGCATTTGGGATCGATGACATGCATCAACCAAGTCAGCGAGCCTGACCACCCGATCCCAGTCGCCTTTTACGACAAGCATAGTTACCTTTTATGGCAAGCATGGGTTGCTGAAGACCTATTCTACCCCGGACCTTCATGGGTCTCATGGTATCTAAAGGGCTTGTGAAACATATTAGGGGGTAGTTGTTTCCGAGGGATCTCTGGTACTTTTATCTTGGGATGAGTGAGTGAGTCTGATTTAATTCAACTTTGGGCAATCTTCTAGCAACATCATGGAATAGAACACAAAAAACAGGCTTCACACATTGCAGCATTGTGGGAATCAAGCATGGCCTTCACAATAATGAGCGAACACTTTAACCGCTGGGCTACCTCACTGACCCAGCTTGGGCTGAGTAGTGACAGGTGACATTGTGATAGATGACAATACACAATGGCTGTAGTGTCGCATGTTGTGACAAGATATGTAACGACAGGACACGTCTGTGCCAGTTTGGGTTGATGAAACTGGATAACTTGTGATTTAACAAGACCCCCGACAACCCCCCCCCCCCCCCCGACACACACACACACACACACACACACACACACACACACACACACACACACACACACACACACACACACACACACACACACACACACACACACACACACACACACACACACACACACACACACACACACACACCAACTGGAAATGGAGATAACTGCTATCTCAGACCTAGCTATGGTAGACCATGGTCATCTCAGACCTAGCCATTATGCATTACTTACACCCTTGAGCAAACCTAAGAGTTAAACACCTCACTCACTCAGAGACATGTGACAATGAAGTGTGTTATAGTACATCTTTTGTTTCAGTGTTGGACACAATTGTTTCAGTGTCTAACACTGTGGATGAATATGCTTTCAACTTTTGCAGAAAGTCATAAGTATTCAAACAAACAGCATTATTTTCTATTCATCCATGATTCATAACATTGATCGATTTTTAATGAAAAGAAAATGAACACAATGTCATCGAAAAAACATTCCAAAAGGCTCATGTTCATCACTTGATTGATGGGAATGCAAAAATTCAAAAAGAAATATTGAATAATTACTCGGTTTAGCTCTGTAAACAAATTTTACACACATCTGAAACTCAGTGGCCCCGTCTTCTAAGGCACCACGATTCGCTGTGCAGAGTTGCGTCCATTGGGCACGCCAGAAACCTATGATTGTGGGTTCGAATCCCGGTTTGCCCCGATTATGTTTCTAGGTTTGTCAGCACAATACCCGTGCTCGTGGGTTTCACCAAAGTGGTAAAGGTCTGAGACCTGCATCACTTCGGACTTTCTTCCCACATTAAGCTGACACGCTGCGATATAACTGGAATACTGTTAAAAGCGGCGTTAAACCCAACTCACTCACTCACTGAATTAGGTTCATACATAATACTTTTTGAGCAAGCAGACAAAGTGCCCTTTTAACATCCCTTAATACCACCAGTACTGCAATTAGGCTCTTCTTGTTCCAGACTGTTTTATTCAAATTGACTTGGTCACCAGAAAATTCAGCCTTTAGTCTTTCAGGTATTTTTAACTGGTTTAATGGAGCTTAAACCGTGCCAAATCAATCTGAACGAATTGAGGTCATGCAAGTGTTTGAATGTTCTCCTAAAACTGGCATGTCAGCCCTGCCCGGCTTCAAGTACAAAACCTTCAAAGAGAAACATTAACAGCCAGTACCGTGGTTACCAGAATCAATTGTGTTGCCGGAATTCTCCCTCTATAACATCAACAACAGCAATACACAGACAAAACAAAAATAGAATCCAGACTTGAGTCTTCATCAAGATCAATAACACCTACATGAAACAGATCCTCAACAGTGTATTACAACATTGACCAAAAACCTATTGATTATTGAGCTTCCTTATAATGAAAAGGATTAGGATAATGTCAGTCTGCCGGACTGATATAAACATCAGAGCGGAGCGTGCATGATTATGGAACTGAAGTCAATCATGTGGAAATGTTTTCTGTCCCGATACATGCTGATGGAGGCAGCTGATCAGTTGACATTGTGGTGGATGGAGATGCTTCGTGGTGGTTGGCAGCTGGGGATGTGACAGAGTGTGGCTTAATACTGTGAGAAGGGATCTGTGAGACAGAGATGTGATATAATGCTGAGAGAAGGGATCTGTGACACAGAGATGTGATATAATGCTGTGAGAAGGGATCTGCGACATAGAGATGTGATGTAATGCTGAGAGAAGGGATCTATAACACACAGATGTGATACAATGCTGAGAAAAAGGATATAACACACAGAGAGGGCTGTGATATAGTGCTGACAGAAAGGAAACAGAGATGTGATGTAATGCTGAGAGAAAGGATATATAACACAGGGATGTGATACAATGCTGAGAAAAAGGATATAACAGACAGAGAGATGTGGCATAACGCTGACAGATTTTAGGAAACACGGAGATGTTAAATGATGCTTTGAGAAGGGATATGGCAGACAGGGATACAGCATCACACTGAGAGATTGGATACATCAAAGTGATGTGGCATAACAATCAGACAAGGGCTATAATAGACAGACATGTGATATAACACTCACACAACGGATATAACACAATATGTGACAATGCTGAGATTTGGCATTCCACTCAGTGAAGGAGAAGCAGAGATAAGAAGAACACTGAAAGGAAGGATATAACAGAAATGTATTAAAACTGAAAGAAAGGATATAACAGAGACGTGTTATAACACTGAACAGAAGGATTATACCATACAGATGTCGTATACAGAGACAGACAGGGTCTTCGCTCCGTCACTTGACCGTAAGTAAACAATAAGCGGGCAACTGACACCCGAGCTGTATTCATGGCCACACATAAAATGATGCCGTTATATAATGTACAATCAGGATACATGTGACCTTTGAGCTCACAGCAGGCTACGAGAAGGTATTTTTTAACTAGGACTCCGACCACTCACTGCCTGCACAGGCTGAATACCAACTACTAAATCAAGGTCAGCACATCACAAGGAAATCAATGACCTTTTAGAGGCATGTCAGTATCAATTTGTTTGTTTGTTGTTTAACGCCGGACTCAGCAATATTCCAGCTATATGACGGCGGTCTGTAAATAATCGTGTCTGGACCAGACAATCCAGTGATTGATATCATGAGCATCAATCCACGCAATTGGAATTGATGACATGCATCAACCAAGTCAGCGAGCCTCACCACCCGATCTCGTTAGTCGCCTGTTACGACAAGCATAGTCGCCTTTTACGGCAAGTATGGGTTGTTGAAGATCTATGCTACCTTGGATCTTCTGCAGTATTAATAAGGAACTGAGGGTGGTACTGAGGGTGGAAGTAAGTGGAATGATTTGTATCTGATCAAATAATTGAGGGATAAATACATGAATGGAGTTCAATCATCAGATACAAATATCTTCCACTATTGGGTGAACATGTTGACATGGTTGTCCTTAAGGCAGCTCCAAGAGTCATAGGTTCCCCGACAATATATCCTGTATGATATTGACAATGCTCCTGTTTCACAACATCCCTCGTGGTACAACAAATAGTTCCTACACTGGCTCGTCACATATGGATCACATTCATGCCATGATAAAAGATATGAAGCTAGTTCTTGATGCATTTCTTCAACCATGATATGTCTTGCTAAAATATTGCTAAAATTGGGAATTAACCTCACTCATTCAATGTATCATTCTTTTTCACACTCTATCACTGTCAGAATTACAATGAGTGACTGAATGTCTACAATGAACAGTTCACTTCAGATAAATATTTACAAGGGGGCATGTACACTGACAAGCACCTTCACACTGACAAACACCTTAACACTGACCAGCACCCTCACACTGACAAGCACCTTCACACTGACAAGCACCTTCACACTGACAAGCACCTTCACACTGACAAGCACCCTCACACTGACAAGCACCTTCACACTGACAAACACCCTCACACTGACCAGCACCTTCACACTGACCAGCACCTTCACACTGACAAGCACCTTCACACTGACCAGCACCTTCACACTGACAAGCACCTTCACACTGACAAACACCTTCACACTGACCAGCACCTTCACACTGACAAGCACCTTCACACTGACAAACACCCTCACACTGACCAGCACCTTCACACTGACAAGCACCTGCACACTGACAAGCACCTTCACACTGACCAGCACCTTCACACTGACAAGCACCTTCACACTGACAAGCACCTGCACACTGACAAACACCTGCACACTGACAAGCACCTTCACACTGAGCAGCACCTTCACACTGACAAGCACCTTCACACTGACAAGCACCTTCACACTGACAAACACCCTCACACTGACAAGCACCCTCACACTGACAAACACCCTCACACTGACCAGCACCTTCACACTGACCAGCACCTTCACACTGACAAACACCTGCACACTGACAAACACCTGCACACTGACAAACACCCTCACACTGACAAACACCTGGACACTGACCAGCACCTTCACACTGACAAACACCTTCACACTGACCAGCACCTTCACACTGACAAACACCCTCACACTGACAAGCACCTTCACACTGACAAGCACCTTCACACTGACAAACACCCTCACACTGACAAACACCTTCACACTGACAAGCACCTTCACACTGACAAACACCCTCACACTGACAAGCACCTTCACACTGACAAGCACCTTCACACTGACAAACACCCTCACACTGACAAGCACCTTCACACTGACAAGCACCTTCACACTGACCAGCACCTTCACACTGACAAGCACCTGCACACTGACAAGCACCTGCACACTGACAAGCACCTGCACACTGACAAACACCTTCACACTGAGCAGCACCTTCACACTGACCAGCACCTTCACACTGACAAGCACCTTCACACTGACAAACACCTGCACACTGACAAGCACCTTCACACTGAGCAGCACCTTCACACTGACAAACACATGCACACTGACAAACACATGCACATGCACACATACACACACCAGCTGTCTGTATGTAGAAATTAGAGACAATATATGACCTAGTTCCACTGGTATGACAACAATAATAAAAAAAACCATAACATGACAAATCAATAAATACCTTCAATAACTATACACCAGCATGAATTCCACAAGCTGCTGACACAAAAGCAGCGACCTGCTTGGCATTGGTCTACTGATAACAAGATGAACATTTAGTATTCTCTTCCCTGACCTTTAGTACTGTAACACCATCTCTGCTCATCCTGAAGATCCGGGGAGAATAGGTCTTCAGCAACCCATTCTTGCCATAAAAGACGACTATGTTTGTCGTAAGAGGCGACTAACAGGATTGGGGTGGTCAGGCTCGAATACTCGGTTGATGCATGTCATCGATCCCAATTGCGTGGATTGATGCTCATGATATCAATAACTGATTGTCTGGTCCAGGCTTGATTATTTACAGACCGCCATCATATAGCTGGAATATTGCTGAGTGCGGCATTAAACAACAAACAAACCAAAGCAAACCTACAGACCTACACTTTAACCACTAGGCTACTCCATCACCTACCTACAGTTTGAGGAGCGGCGGGGTAGCATAGTGGAGAAAGCGTTGGCTCGTCATGCCGAAGCCCTGGGTTCGATTCCCCACATGGGTACAATGTGTGAAGGCCATTTTCCAGAGTCCCATGGTGGGATATTGCTGGGATATTGCTATAAGTGGCATAAAACCATACTCACTCACTCACTCACCTAAAGTTTGAAGAAAATCACTCTGTGTTCCCTACTTTCTGACATAATTACACCATGAACTTAATCTGCCAAACATCCCGCTTCATGTCAACAGTTTGACAGTTCAAACAAAAATTAGGTTGTGAGGTGAAATGGGGTTTAACATCACGTCCAAGATTATTGCACTTATATATATCTAGCAACGTGCATGTACGTGTGTGTGTTTGTGTGGCTGCATGTACTAGTCCGGACTGATGCCGATTTATAGTGCTAGCACACTGAGATACCATGCCGCAGTTTAACATGAATACCCCACTCAGACACAGTATACTGACTCCGAGCCTACCAGTCCTTGTTTTAGCCCCTTAATGCCGAGCGCCAGACAGGGTAACAACAAGTACCATCTTTTAACGTCTTTTGGTATGACGCCGCCGGGGATCGAACCCCGGACCTTCCGCTCTCCAGGCGGAAGCTCTACCACTAGACCACGGAGGCGGTCCAAACAAAAATTAAATGCCTCAACATTCTAACAGGGGGAAATGGGTGGCCCAGTCGTCTAAGGCGCCGCGATTCACTGTGCAGTGTTGCGTCCCTTGGGCACGCCGGAAACTTATGGTTATGGGTTCGTATCCCGGTTCCTTCCTCATCCCTGATTAGGTTTCTAGGTTTGTCAGTACCAAACCCGTGCTCATGGATTTCACCAAAGCGGTAAACAACAGAGACCTGCTTCACTTCGGGCTTTCCTCCCACATTAAGCTGACACGCCGTGATATAACTGGAATACTGTTAAAAGCGGTGCTAAACCCAACTCACTCACTCACTCTAAAAACCTGGATGAAAATATTAAAATTAATTAATTGTATCCTTAAATGTATTTTCTCTAATCATATCTTCATGAGTATTTGCATGAACACTGACAAAAACTACTGTTGGCAGTGTATAGTATGTTAAAGACCAGTGCAGTTTTGATTTCTATCTGCATTTGTTTCTGTGTGATGTAGGAAAAATGCTGATATTTGACATTAATTCCCCTTTGTTGTTCAAAGATATCTGTAAATAGCCTCATTGCAATCCTAAAGATCCGTCAAAATATATCTAAAAAAGAAGCAGACTAATATAGACATATTATAAATATGATGCAACGTTAAGACAGCCAGGAACCAGTCTTGCATAAAGGTCTTCACTGCAGCACATGGCACATTGTTACAGGCTGGGGCTGGAGCATTACATCAGTGTTCAGATAGAATCAGTTGGTGAATTATTGATTGTGTATATTAAGTGTGAAATTAGAAATGATAAAAGACCTAGCTAGGTCATTGAAAACAAATGCAAATAGGATATAAATAACACTCAAAGCACCTAGGTTACTAAAAAGCTCATATGAACGATCAATTTTGCCATCATTAACGCTTTATGTCAGACTCATCTAAAAACATTCCCCTACCATTATGGAAGATGGTTGGTGTTGATGATGTAATGAGGCAGATATTGATGGAGAGAGAGCTGTTCCAGAGGGTCATCTTGACATAAAGGTCAGATGATCTGAAGCCTGGATCATACCATTTTAAACATGAAGCTAAGTTCCATGTTGGTTGGTTTGTTGTTTTACGCCACACTCGGCAATATTCCAGGTTACATGTAGATTTTGACCATGTAAATTGATTTTGGAACAGACATGCAGCTGTCAAAATAGAGGTGGTAATTGTGATTTGAGACCTCTGATTTATGGTAGAATTTGCCTACTCCCATTGCGTTCCAGCATTCTGTGATACTGCTTATTAAAGCATACTTCATAAGTTTTTAACAATAATACAATAACAATTATTTAAAAAAGCTTATTTCATTGAAACAGCATTAATTGCATCAATGTTTTCATTTGCAGAGATTTTGATTCATTTGACCATGAAACACGACCACAATCTGTTCTGGCCTGAATGTTATTACCTAGAATCACATGGTTCTACATTAACAGAGGATTAACCAGTGACATTACCACACACTAATCTCCAACCACCCCCTACTGTGAGTCAACACTGGGTACAGTTCATGGTCATGTGACCTCCCACGCCTCTTCTT